TGTCCAAAAAGAATATTGCAGCACGTTTGAAGTTTGCAAAAGAGCACCTGGATGTTCCACAGCACTACTGGCAAAATATACTGTGGACAAATGAAACCAAGATTGAGTTGTTTGGGAAGAACACACAACACTATGTGTGGAGAAAAAAAGGCACCGCACACCAACATCAAAACCTCATCCCCACTGTAAAACATGGTGGAGGGAGCATCATGGTTTGGGGCTGCTTTGCTGCCTCAGGGCCTGGACGGATTGTTGTCATTGATGGGAAAATGAATTCCAGAGTTTATCAAGACATTTTGCAGGAAAACATACGACCATCTGTCCGCCAACTGAAGCTCCGCAGAGGATGGGTGATGCAACAGGACAATGACCCGAAGCATACAAGTAATTCAACAAAACAATGGCTGCAACAGCACAGAATACACCTTCTGGAGTGGCCCAGTCAGAGTCCTGACCTCAACCCGATTGAAATGCTGTGGCATGACCTTAAGAGAGCGATTCACACCAGACATCCCAAGAATATTGCTACACTGAAACAGTTTTGTGAAGAGGAGTGGTCCAAAATTACTCCAGATCGTTGTGCAGGTCTGATCTGCAACTACAGGAAACGTTTGGTTGAGCTTATTGCTGCCAAAGGAGGGTCAACCAGTTATTAAGTCCAAAGGTTCACATACTTTTTCCTCCCTGCACTGTGAATGTTTACATGTTATGTGCAATTAAACCATGGCAACATCTAATGTTTTTGTAGTATTATGTTCAGCAGACTGTGTTCTTCTATTGTGACTTAGATGACGTTCAGAGCACATTTTATGCCCAATTCATGCAAAACTCCACGTAATCCCAAGTGGTTCACATACTTTTTCTTGCAACTGTATTGCAACATAGTAGTCCTGCATATGTTTTATTTTCTCCAGGCTTTTTCTACTTTATTTTCAATTTATTTCACCTGGTAATCCCGTGCATGATAAACTTCCTGTCCCTTCGCATCTATGCTTTTTTCTGTATGTGTTTGATGGGCAGCCATGCTTGTCACACAGACTGGATTTGCCTTTGTTCATCTCCTTTACATGGTGGATTGATCAGACTAGTGGTCAAGGAAAGTGACAAGGACACTATATAGGTAGCAAAATCAACAGGTATTTTCTATACTTGCTTAACATTTTCTTAGCTCGTAAAATGAAAGCTAATGTAGCCAATACTTTTAAAGACTAAGGTATAAGGTAAATTGAAATAAATACAATTTTTGTTTTTGAGTTTAAAAACATTTTATACACATCATGTCCAGCAAAAACATTGTTTTGGGCAGAGTATGTGGAAATGTTAGTCTGTTTTTTATTTTTCATTTTTTCTTCACTTCCTGTATAGATACATATAGATCCTGTATAGATACAGAAGCTGATGGTAAGCACAACCACCAATTACCAGAATAACATAAATAATATACCTTCCCTGCTCGAAGATTCTTCTCAATTTATGTCCTGGGACAACACAATAAGTATGAGAAAGTTCCCCAGTTGAGGTCACAGAAAACACTGACAGAAGTTTTTGGTCTTTACCCTACAGAATCACCAAATGCTCTCCTGAAACCTCCCTGCCTTAGGGTCTTAAAAAATACTGCCTTCTATCCAAGTGTGCTCCAAGCCCTGGTCACTACCAGTGTGACCAGGGTCACAGAAAACACAATAAAACCTGACAGGTTTTTGGTTTTCACCCTACAGAATCACCCAATGCTCTCCTGAAATCTCCCTGCCTTACGGTCTTAAAAAATACTGCCTTCTATCCAAGTGTGCTCTAAGCCCTGGTCACTAGCAGTGTAACCAGGGTCACAGAAAACACAATAAAACCTGACAGGTTTTTGGTCTTCACCCTACAGAATCACCCAATGCTCTCCTGAAATCTCCCTGCCTGACGGTCTTAAAAAATACTGCCTTCTATCCAAGTGTGCTCCAAGCCCTGGTCACTACCAGTGCTTAAACAGGTATCACTATAAGGCCAGTGTTGATGGGCCTCTGTACACTTTAGAACAGTATTCTTCCCATACAAGTCTATAAAAATGCAAAAGAAGCATGAAGTAGGTCAAATGCAAGTCAGAAGGAGGTCAACTACCAGTCAATTGCACCTACGTTGAATTCTAAATTATCTCAGAAACTAATGTCAAAAGCATACTGTATTTGTCAATCAAAGACTGTCGACCTTGACCCTTTAAACATTTAAATCCATGGCCTCTATTAGTTGGCCATATATTTTTGACATAATGTTGAGATTATTTTTCTCCGATTTGTGCTGCAATCTACCCTTTAGTAAATGAAGCTTCTTGGCCTCCTTTTTGTGATTTAGAAAATCAGCGTACTAAAAAAAGTAAGAACTACTATATCACTGAAGTACTGTTGACTAATCTTCCAGCATTATTGCCTTTTTAACCCCTTGACGCCAACTGCCTCCTGGCCTTTTTAAGAGCTCTAAAAGCTAGGAGGTGGAGGCGGGCATTCGGGTCATGTGACTACAAGTGATTGGCTGTCTCATACTCGTAAGGTTCCTGATCGCAAGTATGCATTGTGAGCTTACTGATCCATACCAGCTACCATGCTGGGAGCATGCAGGGAGCGTGCTCTCAGCACAGTAAGTTATTTTAACAGGGCCGGCACCAAGAGATTAAGGTGCCAGGGCATTATCCAGAAATAGATGGTTACATTAAAGACATTTCATTGTAAAATAAAGTCTTGTATGCAAAGTAATTGTATGTAGAGCTTGTATGTACAATACATTTAAAAATACATATTTAACAAAATAGATAAACAGCTGAATGATCAGATTTACCAAATACATGCAAAGCAGCAAGGCAAAACAGGTTCAGGATGGCAAAAAGAATTCATTCACTGCAGAATAATACAAAACAGACTATGAAAGGTGCACAAACATGAACTCTTCAGAACAATGTTTCTGAGGCTGAGATAGTGTAGCATGTGGCTGTGCAGCATAGTTTCTATAAGACTAAATAACAATAGAGAGTCTAACTGAGAATCACTATTTCAGTTAAAACCATTCAGAAAACCCATATACAACATCCTTCCCAAGTCCAGGGTAACACAGCGGGATAGGTGGAGGGATCTAAGGACAAAGGGCCACCTCACTGAAACTGGGGTACTAGCAACTGGGGAGGTGATCCCCATAGTAGTCAAGTCTTCGGGAGAAACTGTATGGTATTATTCTTCTGTCTGGCTGCCTGCATGTCCGTTCTGACAGTGGAGGGCCACTTACCTGGCTGCAGAGTATTTGCCCAGTTTATTCTGCCTCTCTAAGCTATGTTCCTTGAGCATACCCAGTAACAAAGGCAGTTGTGGGAAATGGGGTTAAAGGGTCTGCATCTGCATTTATCATGGTGAGTAAACAGGCACTCAAACATCTAGTCTGTGATACTGAAAATAGCTCAATACCTGCTATCATATTATATGCAGTATGTTGTGGTTTAGTACAGTGTTTCTCCATTTTATTAAAGACTATACCTCTTTTATAATAACCTGTGTTCGCTTATCTTATCTGAAGTATGTACTAACCTGTTGACAGTAGTACCTCCTATGTGTGTACGTTGTATAAACTTTTTCCAAATCATGTTTCATGTACAGTATGTAAATAACTAAAAAAAATATTTTGTTTAGAATCATCATTTGCTAATATACTATTCCAGCAGTACACTGAATCTGTCAAAAATACATCCTCAATAATTGCCAGTCATTGAGAACCTATGATTTAGTGTGGCCAACATAAAACAGTTAACAAGGAATTCTATGTTGTACAGTATTCCTTTTACACTGAAACCCCAATGACTGAGATTGTTGGCCTACATTTTATGAAGACATCTGATGCTGCACAAATATATTGCTGCATGTAGGCATATGTTATGTGGGTATTAATATTTTGTGAAGCCAATATGAGACAACATTAATAGGAAAACAATAACTAAAAGGGATATACTGTATTATACAATCCCATTGCGCGTTATGAAATTGAAGTTGCAGTATGGTGGATGTGTTTATTTTACTTGAAGTGTACATAGAGTCTGAATTTTTTTTTATATGTTTGGCATTGTGCCTTACAGCAGCCTGCTGTCCAAGCTTCATTAGCTGGTTGTTCCTGCGTGCGTATGTGATAGACCTGATAGACAGCAAAGTGGCCAACTGAAAGAACGTACACAGCAGGCTGGCTACACTTTTGCTAATTGCACATCAGTGGCTTGCTGTTGTTAGGCAGCAAATAAAAGTGCTGTTACTAGCAGGATCTCCAGGTAAGAATTTTTACAACAAATGACCTAAAAAAGGTTACTGAAGAAACTGTATACAGAGAGTCATGATGCCAAGCATGCTGAAAAAATATTTTGGGTTTACGTGTACTTTAATAAATACATGAACCTAGGGTTTCAGCCTTTAGTCTTGAAAGAGTGATTTCCAATTAAAGTTTTGGTAACCCTCCATTGAATAATATAATGGCTATTTATTGTCAAAAGGTGGTGCTTTCCTTGCATAAGAATACAAGCCATAAGGAATGGTCAAGATCTCATCTAGTATCCCAACACTGCCACAGTTAAAACAATGAATAAGATATTATCTGATTACATAGGAGAGCAGAATTAATACAGAATGAAAAAAGAAAATGTAACTAAAACTCTAGTAAACTATTTTTGCATTTATTGCTGAGAAATATTTTTATTATAGTGCACCGATGACACAACATTCCTGTAGCTTAAACCCAGAGCTTGAGTGGTTTTGTTTTAGTTATGCGGGTTTGAATATAGCAAAAAAAAGTCCAGGGGATAGGCTAGGTGCTATCAAACCATGACATTGGAGGATAAAGCCATATATCTACTTCAGTCATATATGTATCCTATGGAATTGAACCACCGAATGTATGATTGCATGAGTTTCTTGGCATACTGGCTAATAATAAGGAGCAGTAAGTATTTAGTTCCCAAGGCAGTTAGTCATGAAAAGGTGAAGTCCAGTCCTTTATGATATGAGGTCAGTATAGTCACAGCTGTTCTTGCGTTGACCACATGGGTACAATAGCAGTTCTTTTCCCAGTGAGGTAATGGGCTCAATCTATAAGAAAAAAAAAGATGTAACTGCATTAGTAAACCTATTTTTTTTAGATCATTGGTTTAATTTTACACTCTAAAATGCAGTTTCTGTTTTTAATTGGAAACTTTGGAAAGCTCATCAGTTTCTCCTGCCTCTGTCAGCTCTTATATATAGTGGGGGAAACCTGTAACACTGCACTGTTCTATTTTTGCCCTTGATTTTAACCTTTCTCTACTACAATACATTTACATACCCATACATACACACATAAATTAGTTACCCCCTCTCCCTGCAACATTTACTTATTTTTATTTCATACTTGGTAATGTTCTACAGAGGCCTTTGCTTGTGTGGCTGCTGGGAGCCAAACAATGTTTCCATGGTGAGTGTGGGTCAGCATCAAATGGAAAGCATTTCAAGGACTCAATCCAGTTACCATGGTGTGTTTGAGATCTTCTAGGCCATTTTTTTTTAACAATCTTTATTAAAATTTTGTAAATTATAGTAGTGTCGAAAATACAAAACTGAAAGTTGTTGAGGAGGCAAAATGAAAAACTTTACACAAGAAACACAAAAATAAGAGATATGACTCGATCATCATAAATTCTCAAAGTAACAGTAAAGATATCTCTAAACAGAATAGCTGACCAGTGTGGGGCTTATCAAGCCAAGCATCAAGAGAAGATATGTTGATAATGATAAGAACTGAGAAGTGTGGAGGAAATGAGTAACCCAGGCTCATGCCGCAATGTGTTGGTGTGAGGAGGAAGAGGGTCTCCGTTCATGGGATAGACCACAAACAGGGAGTCATAGTGCAACTAGTCTAAACCCCAAACTCTAGCCTATGAAAATCTGCACTGAGTCATAGGGACTATTAGGATATGAGGGGGTGCCAATAAGTATTGAGCCTTGCCTAGAATATACCTCGTATATACAACAAATATGATCACAGGGAACAGTAATACTTTTTAACAGATGGGTGTAGTTATCATCCCACCAGGGGGATCATTACCCAAGATGGGAGCAGATTCAGGTACCTTAAGTTTGCCCAGGGTGTTGGCAAGGTTGGCTTTGGAATACCAAGTTGTAAACTGAAAGGTGGTCATGAGATGACAACTTTCAGTCAATGTGAAGGTGTGTTCAATGAAGGTTCTCCATCATGTAAAGAAGCATTTGGTGCGTCCAAAGTTCTGTAACATAGCATCCAATTTTCAGTTCTTTCTTGACAGAAGACAGTGCTGGGCTGTGTGGGGAGGTCCAGGCCCGGAGTAGAACTCTCCTGGCCATTAAAAGGCATAGATTTATCCATGGGGACAAGGACAGCGGTTTCCCTGTGGTCAGAAGGGCTGCGTTTGCAGATGGTGCACAACTAAATAGACAAAGAAGTGGATCTTTAGGCAAGCTGGTCTTCGTGATCCCATATATGTATTGGATAATTTGGTTCCGATAGATCTGTATAGCTGTGCATGACCAGAACCGGTGGAGTAGACTAGGTCTAGAAACCCCGCACCCGGGACAGACAACCAGTAAAGGATTTGACGCATCCATCAAGGCAGGTATGAATGCCCTGTGAATTATTTTAAACTGAGTCTCCCTCCATTGCTCGTTGATAATAATTTTGCGGATCGTCTTGTAGCCCTCCATGAGTTTTGTGGTGTCTTCCAACTCCGGGATATCTTTAGGCCAGCCCTTTAGAAGGGATAGGGTCAGCAGGGAGGTGTTGTGTTGCAAGAGCAGAGAGTACAGTGTCGAGATAGAGTAATGCTTCCGTTTTATTGCCCTATCCACTACCAGGTACACCAGCTCAGTCCTCCCTCAACCTAGCTGAGATTTAATAAAGTCCACCAGCTGGCAGTAATAGAAAATGTGATGGGGGATAGATGGAACTATTGAGATATCTCCTGGAAGGATCGAGTAGTGCAGGAGCCATGACTAAGTATGGAGGTAACACGAGTTAGGCCTTTGGAAGTCCAGTAAATGACGGCCTCGTGATCCATTCCTGGGGGGAACATAGGGTTGCCCTGTATGGGCAAATGGTTAGAGATGGTGGAAGTTGCACTTGTGAGCCTGCAAATTTCCAACCATGCTATCACAGTGTCTCGTATGAGAGAGTTATTTTTTAAAATGTGTAGGTAGAACTTTCAGTGGGAAATGGAGCATTGATGATAGATTGAAGGGAGATACCAGGGCTTCCTCTAGGGTATAATTTGAGTACACAGACCTATGTGCCAGCCAGTCCACACACTACCTGACAAGCCAGATTGTGTAAGCGGGGATTAGGTATACCCATTCCCCCCTTGTCCTTTGGAAGATGCAGTTTACAAAGAGCAATACGTGGACATTTGTTAGGGTCTTGTTGAGATTTTGGACATCTTTATGTTTCAGTAATAATGGTAGTGTCTGCAAAGGGTATAGTAACCTGGCAAAGGATACATCTTATAAAGGTGTCTAGCCCGTTTTTGTCACCTAGGCAGCATAGTTTTTTCCCATGCAAGGTATGTTTGGCATGATATAGCTATAAAGGATTTTCAGCCTCCTCCGGCCAGACAAAACCGTGCCATTCCCAGTCTACCTCTCGGCCTCTTGGTAAACGTCTCACTGTTGATTAGATCAGTTCAGGCCCCTGTCAATTCAAGCATATAGGCCTGGACATACCCAGGAATTCCAACTGAATACAGTCTCTTACATTTGTGGACCAAACCTGCTTGACCTGAAAGCTGAACCCTAGTGTTACCTTAAATATGAATCCTCTTTTGTTTAGAATTGCCTATACTAATGTTATTGCATTTTTAAGTGTGTGCCAAAAGCTGCCTATTCCTGAATATCTCTTGCCTCTCTTCTGAGGTGGGCTGGGTCATTATTTTTTTGAGTCTCCAACCTAATTATGCAATCACCCATAGCCAATTCTGAATGTGACCCACTTATGACAGCCCTGGGACATAAATATACACTTGTGTTCAAAATAATAGCAGTGTGTTGAAAAAAGTGAATAAAGCTCAAAATCCTTCTAATAGCTTTTATTTCCATACACACAAATGCATTGGAAACACTACACATTCTATTCCAAATCAAAACATGAAGAAAAATATATCAAATTTGTGTTGTTCCTCTAAAAAAAATGAAGAAAAGTGAATATTAGACTGTTCAAAAAAAATAGCAGTGTTTGTATTCTACTTTACAAACTCAAACATTCACTATATAAACTGAAAAATGTTTGAAGATTTTGCTTTCCTTTGAATCACTTAATGAATATTTAGTTGTATAAGCACTGTTTCTGAGAACTGCTGTACATCTGTGTTGCATGGAGTCAACCAACTTTTGGCACCTGTGAACAGATATTCCAGCCCAGGATAATTGGACTACATTCCACAGTTCTTCTCTATTTCTTGGTTTTTCCTCAGAAACTGCATTTTTGATGTCACCCCACAACTTTTCTATTGGATTAAGATCCGGGGATTGGGCTGGCCACTCCATAACCTCAATCTTGTTGGTCTGGAACCAAGATGTTGCACGTTTACTGGTGTGTTTGGGGTCGTTGTCTTGTTGGAACACCCATTTCAAGGGCATTTCCTCTTCAGCATAAGGCAGCATGACCTCTTCAAGTATTCTGATGTATTCAAACTGATCCATGATCCCTAGTATGCGATAAATAGGCCCAACACCGTAGTATGAGAAACATCCCCTTATCATGATGCTTGCGCAACCATGCTTCACTGTCTTCACAGTGTACTGTGGCTTGAATTCAGTGTTTGGGGGTCGTCTGACAAACTGTCTCCAACCACTAGACCCAAAAAAAAACAATCTTACTTTCATCAGTCCACAAAATGTTGCACCATTTCTCTTTAGCCAGTCAATGTGCTCTTTGGCAAATTGTAACCTCTTCAGCACATGTCTTTTTTTCAACAGTGGGACTTTGCGGGGGCTTCTTGCAGATAGCTTGGCTTCACATAGGCGTCTTCTAATTGTAACAGTACTCACAGGTAACTTTAGACCTTCTTTGATCTTCCTGGAGCTGATTGTTGGCTGAGTCCTTGCCATTTTGGCTATTCTTCTATCCATTTGAATGGTAGTTTTTCGCTTTCTTCCACGTCTTTCAGGTTTTGGTTGCCATTTTAAAGCATTTGCGATCATTTTAGCTGAGCAGCCTATCATTTTCTGCACTTCTTTATATGTTTTCCCCTCTCCAATCAACTTTTTAGTCAAGGTACGCTGTTCTTCTGAACAATGTCTGGAACGACCCATTTTCCTCAGAATTTCAGAGAGAAATGCACTGTAACCAGCATGTACAACATTTGCTGCCTTCCTTCCTTAAATAAGGGCAATAATTGCCACCTGTTTTTCAAAGAATGAATGACCTCACTAATAGAACTCCACACTGCTATTATTTTGAACATGCCCCTTTCAATTAGTGATTCAATTACACAGAATCCGCAGCATGCATGTCATGACTGTTGGGTCTGTTGGATTTCTACTACTCTACTACACCTGCTAGTAAATTATTTGCCATGTAGAAATATCATTTCTACCAAAAACAGTTATTGATCAGGTTAGTGATGTCTGACTTCTATTATTTTGAACACAACTGTATCTACAAAATAACTCTTCCTAAGAAACAAAATGCATTTAGTAGGTTTTCTGGAGGGGAGACCAGGGAATTGGGAAATGTATACTTTTGGCAGACTAAACATCAACTTTAAATAGACTCCTCCATTGTACTACTTGATCTTAGCCCTCAGGTACTCTTGTCTTTTCCAGAACTGGTTCTCCCAGTGTCAGTTACCACATCTACACTGTGCTCTCACTTGCATCAGAAATATTTCAGTCAACCTTGCTCTGTGATTTTGTATAATTCAAGATCACACTCAGTTACTTGATGCCGTTCTCTGTTAAGGAAATGAACAAATCACAATGACGCCATGACATACCACCACCTCTGTAATTGGATGTGTTTGCTGCCTGACTTTTGGAAGGGTCCAGAACTATTTGAGATCACCCCCTTGGATCAATAAAACATAAATGCCACCAAAAATGTTATACTGTATATTATTAAAGGTACTTATATAGCACCATCAATTTACACAGCGCTTTTTACATACATATTGTACATTCACATCAGTCCCTAACCCTCAAGGGGTGTACAATCTAAAGTCCCTAACGCATATTCATACATACTAGGGCCAATTTAGACAGGAGCCAATTAACCTACCAGCACGTCTTTGGAGTGTGGGAGGAAACTGGAGTACCCAGAGAAAACCCACGCAGGCACAGGGAGAAGATGCAAACTCCAGGCAGGTGGTGCCATGGTTGGGATTCAAACTGACGACCCTAGTGCTGCTAGGCAGAAGTGCTAACCATTTAGCCACTGTGCTGCCCTGATTGCACTGTGAGTGTAGTCACAGGTTTGATCATTTCTTTTCAACATGATGTAAAATAGAAAAAGTTTGCTTTGTTAATATTAGGGAAAGTAATTTTTTATGGCCTGGATATTGATTTTGTTTCAAATCACCTGGCAGGAGCCAGAACCTTGTTCCCTACTGCCTAAAATACAGGTATCGGTTTTGGGTGGTGTTGTCATTTGGGATATACTCACTAAACTATATTGTGGCTGTGACTTGAAAATAGTGGAACAAATATTCATCCAATAAGATATGAACAAGCCTGTACAAGGAGCTAAGCAAACATCATGTGTTATTACAATAGTATTACCTTGTGATATTCTACAAGGTCAGCCAGAGTTGCATGCTGTAGTTGATCCACTCCCAAAAAGCTGTAAGAGGTGCCAGAAGCATCTATAAGAAAATGCATGTATCCATCTTCATGGCGATATGAGAGAACATAGCCTTGGATCTTCTCACTGACACGAAGAAGAAAGGTTCCTGCTGACCGGCCTTTTAAAAGGTCTTCTGATTCTAGCCTTGAGATGATGCCTGGAAGCAATGAAAATGAATATAAAAATTATTCCTTTTTTTTCCTAAGAAGACAAATATTTGAAAAGTAGAAAGCTGTTCTACTCCCAAAGACATGTTAAGCAATGCAGGTTTTAAAAAAAAAAAACAAAAACTGACAGCCAAGAGGGGGTGGTGTTTTGTGAGTTTGTAAAGTAAAACAATGCAAGTCCAACGCTTTATGCTGAAAGCGGAACTTAATTGTATCTGAGCATCACAAACTGAAAAGCACAATTTAATTAATTTTAATATTCAAAGCAAACCTACCCATCCATGTCTCCATGCTTTATTTTGTTGAAAAATCACTCCTCCCTAGCATTTGTAGCTTGAGTAAGGGAAAGTGATTCATGTAGTATTTACCTCCTGGAATCTATCTGCCCAAAGCTCAGGCATGCAGGCAGGAGGGTGTACTCAGCTGAGAAAGCCCTCCTCTTCCAGAAGACAGAAAAAAAATGCCCATGAAACATGGGAAGTATGACATAATTTTGGCCTAGGCTATAAACCAGCAAGCAATAGAAGAAATGCAAAAAAAGTTTAAAACTAGTAAATATAACATACCTTCATGTCTATTTGCTAATGCTAGCAGCATAAGGATTAAAAATAGTTCATGTTGATTGAGCGAGGTTAGTTCCAATTTATTCTAGTTTGGGGAATGGCACATGTCTAAGTTGTAGACGTGTGCCTCTTCCACAAACATTGGCACTTAAAGTGTTACTAAACCCAGGACCATGCATTCATTATACAGGCGTACCTTGGTTTATGAATTTAATGCGTTCTGCGGGACGTTTCGTATTGCAAAAAAAAAAAAACACGGTTTCCCATAGGAATGCATTGAAAACCAATTAATCCCTTCGGTCAGAAAAAAGTTAAACTAAAGTCTTTTATCTGTTCAAAACTCTTTATAAAGTGCATTTTAAAAGCATAAATACTGTACAGGGACATATTAAAATGTAATTTGTAAGTGCATTGAAAACCAATTAATCCGTTCCAGAACATGCCCCCTTCCACGCACCGGCTCCGCCGGTGACTGCTGTATCCTATGGACACAGCTGATCATGTGATATGGTAAACAGCCAATCACGGTGGCCTTTTACCACAGCAGATCACGGGGTACATACAGTTGGCAGTTATCGGCTGCGCTTTCCTCACACTGTCACAGCATGAGGAAAGTACTGCCAAGAACCGGCGGTTGTCAGCGAAGGGATCGGCACTGATCATAAGGGCACTGATGATCAGTGCCCTGATGATCAGTGCCACCCACCTGTGTCCATCAGTGCCACCCACCTGAGTCCTGCAGTGCCACCCACCTGAGTCCTGCAGTGCCACCCACCTGTGTCCATCAGTGCCACCCACCTGTGCCCTGCAGTGCCACCCACCTGAGTCCTGCAGTGCCACCCACCTGTGTCCATCAGTGCCACCCACATGTGCCCTGCAGTGCCACCCACCTGTGCCTATCAGTGCCACCCATCAGTGCCCAGCAGTGCAGCCCATCAGTGCAGCATCATCAGTGCTGCCCATCTGTGCTGCCGACCAGTGCAGCAGCATCAGTGCCGTCTATCGATGCCGCCTATCAGTGCCTCCTATCAGTGCCCATCAGTGCTGCCTATCTGTGCCATCTCATCAGTGCCCATCAGTGCTGCCTATCAGTGCAGCCTCATCAACGCACATCAGTGATGGAGAAAAATTACCTGCTTGCAAAATGTTATAAAAGAAACAAAGAAAAACTTTTTTTCAAATTTTTTGCAGTTTTTTTTGTTTATAGCGAAAAAAATAAAACACCCAGCGGTGATTACATACCACCAAAAGAAAGCTCTATTTGTTTGAAAAAAATGATAAAAATTTCATATGGGTACTATGTTGCATGACCACGCAATTGTCATTCAAAGTGCGACAGCGCTGAAACCTGAAAATTGGCCTGAGCAGGAAGGGGGTATAAGTGCCCTGTAGGCAAGTGGTTAAAGAAAAGCCTGTAACCTGATCAAAGTGGGGAGCGCATGGGGCATATCCTGAACAACACAATATTCAGATATCAATTTTTGTCCCTTAAGTCAGAACTCTGGGCTGCCTGTAATGTTCATATCACTACAAAGTACTGAGTTTTGTTCTTGATTTTCACTGTTTCTAAAGTGAAACTATAGTCTTTTTCTGCAGTAGGAAACTAACCTACGTCACACAAAAATCGAACACATATCTCAGCATCAGTTATTAGGTCTGAAGTTCAAATTAAAATTTAACAAACCCAATGAGTAGGGAAAGATTTATTTTGTTTAAAGGTTTTAGCTTCAAATGTGGAACTATTTCCTGATCAGGTTTTGTACCCTCTGCACCTAGACAAACAATGTCATATTTGAAGGTGTAACTCATAGAAGAATTTGCTGGCAGCTACTATCACGAGTGCCAACCTGAAGCCAAATCATTTTATTTACATAAATATTGTACATTACTTTGTCCATAGGATCCTCCTATTTCTAGCACTGATCAAGCATGTTGGTATGTTAAGATTTTTTAATTCCTGTAAAATCCTTTTCTTGGAGTTCATTAACTGCTTCCCGACCACCCGTCCTATACAGTAGCAGTTATACGGCTACAGGGTGGCACGGGTGCGCAAAATCACATATATATACACAGCCATGCAAAGCAGTGTGCTTACAGTGAAGCACACAGACAGAGCACTATGACAAACAGCACACAGTTAACCCTTTAATCGCCCCTCATGTTAACCCCTTCCTGCCCAGTGCCATTAGTACAGTGTCAGTGCTTTTGTTTTTTAGCACTGATCACTATATTGGTGTCACTGGGGATGTCAGCGACACCAAGTCAGTTCCCCCCCACTGCCCGCCGCAGTCCAGCTATAAGTCGCTGATTGCCGCCATTACTATATGGTATATATACCGCCATTTGTAAATGCTATAACTTTCACATAGACCAATTAATTTACATGTATTGGGATTTTTGTTTAGCAAAGACATGGAGCAGAATACATTTTTTTTACTGGACATGTTTAATAGCAAAAAGTCAAAAATATTGTTTTCTCAAAATTGTCGGTCTTTTTTTTTTGTTTAGAGCATAAAAAATAAAAAAATGCACAGGCAATCAAATACCACCAAAATAAAGTTCTATTTGTGGGGGGAAAAAAGAAACAAATGTAATTTGGGTGCAGCGTTGCATGACTGCGCAATTGTCAGTTCAAATAATGCAGCGCCGTATTGCCAAAAATGGCCTGGTCAGGAAGGAGGGTAAATCCCCAGGAGAGCAAGTGGTTAAAGTAAACTTGTAATAATAAAAATGGATACTCTTCATACTGTATATCAGGCAGCATAAGGTATGCATTTAACTTTACCAGACTTCTTGCTGCATCATGACTCTGCTAAAGCCTCATTAACATGGGTCGTGCCTAACATTTCAACTGGTATTTGTAGTGAACATTTGGGGGTCCGCCATCTGTGGATCAGAGCCGTAGCCATACACACAGCTAAGGTAGAAAATTTAGGGTGTGGCTAGCCGGTGACGTCACCACGCACGCCGACGCACGTGTCCGGATCACGTGATCGCACTATCGCCATCTTGAGTGCAGGCAGGCTGGTGAGACACTGGATATAGGGCTCTGAGCTCTCACGTAACAAATGCTTTACTTTTACTTGCTTATTGTGGGTATGATTTTAAGGGTTTTTTTTTACAATAAATCTGTTGGATAATATTACACTATGGCGAGTTCTTTTTTTTACCCACATGTGCTAATTTGGATATGAGAGGATCTTCTTTTGGAGTTTGTTTGGTGGAATACCGGATATATATTGATATGCTGACTGATTACCAACACATGAGGATCTTCTCTTGGAGTCTGTTTGGTGAATGCTGGATATATACTAATATGCTGGTTAATTACTAGCACATGGTGAGTGTGCATTTTGATGGGGTGTTCTGAGCACTGAATATCACATTTGATGAAGGAGGATCTCAGTACTTCATTGAATGAGGATCATTTATATATGGACTTTTTTGAATGGACTATATTGAGATCCCTTATTTATGTTATTGCACTATTAACTTGCACATATTTGGTGGTGGTTATATATATTTGTGCAATTTAATTTATTGATTGAATTTAGGATTGCGCTAATATTTGTGGTTATTTTGTTTATCACAATTTATTATAAGGTAGAAAATTGGCCTAGACTGGAAGGGGGTGAAAGTGTCCGGACTTGAAGTGGTTAAATGCACATAAAATTCTCAACAAATACCAGCAAACTTCCTTGTTCACTACAATGTGTTCCAGGAAGTCGTGTGTTTTCTACTACCTCTAATGAGCTTATTTGCTTTATCAGCACACAAAAATCAATATTCTGCTTTAGGCAACACAAAGTATGATTCATACCAAAATGCAAACAAGTGGTAGCAGCTGATTACGAGAAACTGACTGATAAGTGTCTCCTGTGGTTCCTTTTATACCTCAAAGGCTGGGGTATAAAACTACCCCTTGAATATTAAATGATATTAATTTTGGGAAGAAAGAGATGACTGGGATTAGTGCGCAAAGTACTATAAGTAAACGTACTCAATGGGGTTGATTTACTAAAGGAAAAGTGATTTTTCACTTGGCAGGAAAATCATGTGCAGGCAAAATTTTTTTTTTATTTCCCTTACAAAGATTGTAATCTCCAAGGAGCAGGGTCCTCCTGTATTGAACTGTATTGTTGCTGTATTGTCTCCCTTTATATTGTAAAGCACTGAGCAAACTGTTGGCGCTATATAAATCCTGTATAATAATAATAATAATAATCTTAGATTGTAAGCTCCAAGGATCAGGCCCTCCTAACCCTCTTGTATTGAACTGTATTGTTGCTGTATTGTCTCCCTTTATATTGTAAAGTGCTGAGCAAACTATTGGCGCTATATAAATCCTGTATAATAATAATAATTTTAGATTGTAAGCTCCAAGGAGCAGGATCCTCCTAACCCTCTTGTATTGAACTGTATTGTTG